CATGGTTTGGACCATTTTACAGTTACACCTGGTATAATATTAATAAAATTAAGCTGTTTTTAAAATGAGAGTGCTACTGATACACATCAAAAGTAAAAGTGCACCATGCCATATAAAAAAAAGCCTTACTAAATTATGGATTAAATTTCTAGAGTACAATGACCGAACAATACTGTTTCAGTTATTTTTGTTTGAAAGCATTAGGATCCTTTATCGTGGCCCCATTGTTCTGTGTTGCATTGAACACTTTTTTTGCCGCAGCGGCGAAATATATTTTGGTCGTATAATTGTGTGTTTAAAATTACTACATGTTTTTTATTAACTCGCTTTTCTCTCTCCAGGTCAGTTTGGTTGGCGATTGCATGATATATACGCACCGGCCATATTTTCTTCCATCTAATACTTACTAGGAAGAATAGCACTACAGCTGGCGACCACCTAAACATTTCGGGAAAGCACGAAAATGTCAGCCAGAAATTTAATTCACAAATGATATATATACACGCTACCACCACTTGTCTGAATGATTGGATCTCTCTGTATCCTTGGAAACAGTGAATTATGAATTTTTCTGTGCCTTTAAAACTCAGTAAATTTAAAAAATAATCTACTCCAAAATTAGCTTGAGGATGAAATGGAACTAATGTTTTTAATTTAATTACAAAATTAAATTTGAAGCCTCTAGCTTCCATTTTTGAAACATGCTTATTACCGTGTAGCGAAAAAACATATTTTAAATCAGTTAATTTATAATATTAATGCTCTGTAAATTTACATTGAGCACTATTTTGTAAAAATGAAAGTATCAATAAGAACACCGGATTATATATCTTAATGTTCTTTCTTTTTATGTATTGGAATTGAAACTCGGCTCTTCGGTTAACAATTCCGAGCCATTATCCATCTGCACAACCAAGCTTACAGCAGCTGGTATCCCCAACCGGTCACCCATGTAGGTACTGACGAAGCTCGACATTGCTTAACTTGTGAGAGCGTACCGGAACCGGTGTTCCAACGTGATATGGTGGTAAGCGTAATTTTGACGTAAAATTTACCAGTTGTTTATTTCAGGCTTTTAACGCGGATAACCGAAAACGCGTAAAACGAAGCCGCAGATACACGAGATCACGTATCACGGGAAAGGTACGAGAAATAATGTTATATGCGTTTATAGACGTATCTGAGACTTAAAGAAAGAAAGAAAGAAAAGTATATATATATATATATATATATATATATATATATATATATATATATATATATATATATATATATATATTGGGCTGATGCTTCTATTTGTGTGGTGCTGGCAAAAGGTTGGGAAAAGTGGGGAGTAGGCTTTCCCGCAAAGATAGTGCAAAAGTCTGCTTAATATGGAAGACCCAGAGTCTTCAATGTCGACCGGCAAAGGATTGAACGGTGTCTGCCGAGAATTGATAAGGGAGTGTGCTCTCTAATGTTGACAGTCAAATTCTGCCGCTGTAGAGAAAGGGTATAGTAATTTTAGCCTGCAACCCGGTGACACTGACGCATAGGCAAGTAGAAGTAAACAAATCGAGATATGCTATACACGCACACAGGCGCATGCGCACATGTAATAAAAAGGCGTAGATACACATGTATCGATTTGCAAACGATAGCATAGCTTTTATGCACCCACTGCAAACACAGATATGTTGTTAACTTTAAAATTACTTCAAATTATTTATACAAACGTAACTCATGTCAAAGTGCAGGTAAATGAATACACGATTACACACATATATATATATATATATATATATATATATATATATATATATATATATATATGGTAAGTGTAATGTTAATATTAGCCTTTCTTAGCAACAGTTGGCATTCATTGACCGAGCAGCCATTACTGCTGTCGGATCTTTCTCTTGAAACAATTTTTCAGGAAAATAGAATTCTCATGTCCAGTAGCTGTTATCGCTCTTTCCAGACGGGGTTTATTGATGGGGGCTTACTTTTTAACCATTATATATATGAAACTTGACATTTGCAAATAAAAACAAAGTACAGATAACTAAGAAATCAGAAATCAATTGACACTATATTTATATTATAAACAAGACACAACACCTTTGAAAAAAATCTATATTTTTGATTATTTATGCTGACAACTGTTGTAGGCTTGGTTTGGTTTGTTTTACGGTATATCAACCTCAATGGGTTATTTAATACCGACATTTTTTTTTATTGCTGGTAATATTTTTTTTCACAAATGTATCGCTGGTAATATTTTTTCTTAAAAAAAACAAAAAAAAACAAACAATATCTGGTAATATCTTTTTTTTTCAAAAGTATAGCTGGTAATAATTTTTTTTAACAAATTATTTCTGGTATTAAAACCTACTTCTACACTTTCATAGTGTTGTTTCGGCCCCAGATTGGGGGTTAACTATTTGCCCATAGCTGGAGCCCTAACAGCTACCACATTTTTTTCGTAAATTGTATAGCTGGTAATAATTTGTCTCAAAAAAATTATGTATTTCTGATAATGATTTTTACAAGAAAGTATTTCTGGTATTAAAACCTATTTTTACACTTTCATAGTGTTTTGACCCCAGTTTGGATGTTAACTATTTGCCCATAGTTGGGACCCTAGCAGAGGCTACCACCTCGGGTCAGGGTGGATCGTGGAACACCAGCAATTAAGAGGTGGTTCTACGCTCCTCAAAACTTCCTGATCAGAGGCCTTGCTGCCACATGTAGTTTATCGTTATACCTAGGACGCAACTGTTGTAAATAAAAGGACGGTAATTGTTAATGAGCAAAAAAAAAAAAAGAAAAAAAAGCCACCCAAATTTTTCCATAGTTCTTATGAGTGGACCAATCTGTTTAAGTAGTACTGACTGTATTTATGACATAGTCTTCATATATTTTTTAGTTGAAACTACTTTTTAATAATGTATGATATTTTAGTAATTTTATATTAATTTATTCTAATTTTCAGTTCAATAAAATAATTTAGATTATGGATGATAAATCAATGCAAATACTTATCCCAAAATTAGTATCCTAATCTTTGTTGTGTCTGCATTAATGTTTTGACTAGATATGGTCTCCAGCCTTTCACTGTTGTATATATTGTTATTTCCAAGGAACATTATTGCTCTTATGGCATTCTTTTATTTTTTTTTTTAAGAAACTTTTACCTTACACGAGTTAAACAAATTCATTGATATGCATGACAAAATATCTGTTCTCATAATTACGAATGTAGATTTTTAATTACAAATATTTTTCATTAAGAGGTTTTACTTTTACGGTAGAGTAATGGAGAGTGGCTCGGATTGAAGAATCGGAGAGCCGAGTTCGAATTCCAGTCAAATCCATTACATTCAATTACGTACTAATAACCTTGGAAAAGTTACGAATCCTCTTATTCTCTCCCCAGCTATAGGTAAATAGCAGGATAGATTCTATAGCCTTGGATGGCAACTGGTCTACCGCTGAAAGAAATTGCAACCTACTGCGGGAAAAATCTGCCTCGTCAGTCATGTATCGAAAGACACATGATCGCCTAAGCGTGTATCACACATGGCATATAACTGACTGCGCTGATGTATTTATGTACAACATAACATTACACTCTTTTAAATATTTTAGTTACTTGAAGAAATTTCGTTATAATAATTTTTGAATATTTGAATAATAATTCTAATAGTGTAGATAATTCATATAATCTAAATTCATGTACACGCAAACATACATGCAAGCTGGGACCCCTGGCATGCTGGCACCCTGGCATGCTGGCACCCCTGGCATGCTGGCACCCCTAGCATGCTGGCAATCTGGGCAAGATGGGACCCCTGGCATGCTGGCACCCCTGGCATGCTGGCACCCCAAGCATGCTGGCACCCCAAGCATGCTGGCACCCTGGGAAAGCTGGGACCCCTGGCATGCTGGAACACCTGGCATGCTGGCACCCCTGGCATGCTGGCTACCCCGGCAAGCTGGCACCTATGGCATGCTGGCACCCTGGAACGCCTGGCATGCTGGCAACCCGCATGCTGGCATCACTGGCATGCTGGCACCCTGGCATGCTGGCACCGTGGGCAAGCTTGGACCCCTGGCATGCAGGGACCCCTGGCATGCTGGCACCCCGGGCAAGCTGTCACCCCTAGCATGCTGGCACCCCTGGCATGCTGGCTCCCCTGGCATGCTGGCACCCTGGGCAAGCTGGGACCCCTGGCATGCTGGCACCCATTGCATGCTGGCACCCCTGTCATGCTGGCACCCCTGGCATGCTGGCACCCTGGGCAAGCTGGGACCCCTGGCATGCTGGGACCCATTGCATGCTGGCAGCCGAGGCATGCTGGCACCCTGGGCAAGCTGGGACCTCAGGCATGCTGGTACCCCTGTCATGCTGGCACCCCTGTCATGCTGGCACCCCTGGCATGCTGGCACCCCTGGCATGCTGGCACCCTGGGCAAGATGGGACCCCTGGCATGCTGGCACCCCTGGCATGCTGGCTCCCCTGGCATGCTGGCACCCTGGGCAAGCTTGGACCCCTGGCATGCTGGCACCCATTGCATGCTGGCACCCCTGTCATGCTGGCACCCCTGGCATGCTGGCACCCCCTAGCATGCTGGCACCCTGGGCAAGCTGGGACCCTGGGCAAGCTGGGACCCCAGGCAATCTGGCACCCCTGGCAAACTGGCACCCATGGCATGCTTGCACCCCTGGCACCCTGGGCATGCTGGCAACCCGGGCATGCTGGAACCCCTGGCATTCTGGCACCCTGGGCAAGCTGGGACAACTGGCAGGCTGGCATGCTGGCACCGTGGGCAGGCTGGCACCCCTGGCATGCTGGCACCCCTAGCATGCTGGCACCCTGGGCAAGCTGGGACCCCAGGCAAGCTGTCACCCCTAGCATGCTGGCACCCTGGGCAAGCTGGGACCCCAGGCAATCTGGCACCCCTGGCATGCTGGCACCCATGGCAAGCTGGCACCCCTGTCATGCTGGCACCCCTGGCATGCTGGCACCCTGGGCAAGCTGGCACCCTGGGCAAGCTGGGACCCCGGGCAAGCTGTCACCCCAGGCATGCTGGCATCCATGGCAGGCTGGCACCCCTGGAACCCCTGGCATTCTGGCACCCTGGGCAAGCTGGGACAACTGGCAGGCTGGCACCCCTGGCATGCTGGCTCCCCGGGCATGCTGGCACCCTGGGCAAGCTGGGACCCCTGGCATGCTGGGACCCATTGCATGCTGGCAGCCGAGGCGTGCTGGCACCCTGGGCAAGCTGGGACCTCGGGCATGCTGGCACCCTGGGCAAGCTGGGACCCCTGGCATGCTGGGACCCATTGCATGCTGGCAGCCGAGGCGTGCTGGCACCCTGGGCAAGCTGGGACCTCAGGCATGCTGGCACCCCTGTCATGCTGGCACCCCTGTCATGCTGGCACCCTGGGCATGCTGGCACCCCTGGCATGCTGGCACCCTGGGCAAGATGGGACCCCTGGCATGCTGGCACCCCTGGCATGCTGGCTCCCCTGGCATGCTGGCACCCTGGGCAAGCTTGGACCCCTGGCATGCTGGCACCCATGGCATGCTGGCACCCCTGTCATGCTGGCACCCCTGGCATGCTGGCACCCCTAGCATGCTGGCACCCCTGGCATTCTGGCACCCTGGGCAAGCTGGGACAACTGGCAGGCTGGCATGCTGGCACCGTGGGCAGGCTGGCACCCCTGGCATGCTGGCTCCCCGGGCATGCTCGCACCCTGGGCAAGCTGGGACCCCTGGCATGCTGGCACCCATTGCATGCTGGCACCCCTGTCATGCTGGCACCCCTGGCATGCTGGCACCCTGGGCAAGCTGTCACCCCAGGCATGCTGGCACCCATGGCATGCTGACACCCCTGGAACCCCTGGCATTCTGGCACCCTGGGCAAGCTGGGACAACTGGCAGGCTGGCACCCCTGGCATGCTGGCTCCCCGGGCATGCTGGCACCCTGGGCAAGCTGTGACCACTGGCAGACTGGCACCCCTGGCATGCTGGCAGCCGAGGCATGCTGGCACCCTGGGCAAGCTGGGACCTCGGGCATGCTGGCACCCCTGTCATGCTGGCAGCCCTGGCATGCTGGCACCCCTGGCATGCTGGCACCCTGGGCAAGATGGCACCCCTGGCATGCTGGCACGCCTGGAACCCCTGGCATGCTGGCACCGTGGGCAAGCTGGGACCCCTGGAATCCCTGGCATGCTGGCAACCCGGGCATGCTGGCATCACTGGCATGCTGGGACCCTGGCATGCTGGCACCGTGGGAAAGCTGGGACCCCTGGCATGCTGGCACCCCGGGCAAGCTGTCTCCCCTGGCATGCTGGCACCCCTGGCATGCTGGCACCCATGGCATGCTGGCACCCCTGGAACCCCTGGCATGCTGGCACCCTGGGCAAGCTGGGACCCCTGGAACCCCTGGCATGCTGGCAACCCGGGCATGCTGGCACCCCTGGCATGCTGGCACGCATGGCATGCTGGCACCCCTGGAACCCCTGGCATGCTGGCACCCTGGGCAAGCTGTGACCACTGGCAGGCTGGCACCCCTGGCATGCTGGCAGCCGAGGCATGCTGGCACCCATAGCATGCTGGCTCCCCGGGCATGCTCGCACCCTGGGCAAGCTGGGACACCTGGCATGCTGGCACCCCTGGCATGCTGGCACCGTGGGCAGGCTGGCACCGTGGGCAGGCTGGCACCCATGGCATGCTGGCTCCCCGGGCATGCTCGCACCCTGGGCAAGCTGGGACACCTGACATGCTGGCACCCATTGCATGCTGGCACCCCTGTCATGCTGGCAGCCCTGGCATGCTGGCACACTGGGCAAGCTGGGACCCCTGGATCCCTGGCATGCTGGCACCCTGGGCAAGCTGGGACCCCTGGAACCCCTGGCATGCTGGCACCCCGGGCATGCTGGCACCCCTGGCATGCTGTCACCCCTGTCATACTGGCACACCTGGCATGCTGGCACCCTGGGCAAGCTGGGACCTCGGGCATGCTGGCTCCCCTGGCATGCTAGCACCCTGGGCAAGCTGGGACCCAGGGCATGCTGGCACCCCTGGAACCCCTGGCATGCTGGCACCCTGGGCAAGCTGTGACCACTGGCAGGCTGGCACCCCTGGCATGCTGGCAGCCGAGGCATGCTGGCACCCTGGGCAAGCTGGGACCTCGGGCATGCTGGCACCCCTGTCATGCTGGCAGCCCTGGCATGCTGGCAACCCGGGCATGCTGGCACCCATGGCAGGCTGGCACCCATGGCATGCTGGCACCCCTGGAACCCCTGGCATGCTGGCACCCTGGGCAAGCTGGGACCACTGGCATGCTGGCACCCCTAGCATGCTGGCACCCTGGGCAAGCTGGGACCTCGGGCATGCTGGCACCGTGGGCAGGCTGGCACCCCTGGCATGCTGGCTCCCCGGGCATGCTCGCACCCTGGGCAAGCTGGGACCCCTGGCATGCTGGCACCCATTGCATGCTGGCACCCCTGTCATGCTGGCACCCCTGGCATGCTGGCACCCTGGGCAAGCTGTCACCCCAGGCATGATGGCACCCATGGCATGCTGACACCCCTGGAACCCCTGGCATTCTGGCACCCTGGGCAAGCTGGGACAACTGGCAGGCTGGCATGCTGGCACCGTGGGCAGGCTGGCACCCCTGGCATGCTGGCTCCCCAGGGCATGCTCGCACCCTGGGCAAGCTGGGACCCCTGGCATGCTGGCACCCATTGCATGCTGGCACCCCTGTCATGCTGGCACCCCTGGCATGCTGGCACCCTGGGCAAGCTGTCACCCCAGGCATGCTGGCACCCATGGCATGCTGACACCCCTGGAACCCCTGGCATTCTGGCACCCTGGGCAAGCTGGGACAACTGGCAGGCTGGCACCCCTGGCATGCTGGCTCCCCGGGGCATGCTGGCACCCTGGGCAAGCTGTGACCACTGGCAGACTGGCACCCCTGGCATGCTGGCAGCCGAGGCATGCTGGCACCCTGGGCAAGCTGGGACCTCAGGCATGCTGGCACCCCTGTCATGCTGGCAGCCCTGGCATGCTGGCACCCCTGGCATGCTGGCACCCTGGGCAAGATGGCACCCCTGGCATGCTGGCACGCCTGGAACCCCTGGCATGCTGGCACCGTGGGCAAGCTGGGACCCCTGGAATCCCTGGCATGCTGGCAACCCGGGCATGCTGGCATCACTGGCATGCTGGGACCCTGGCATGCACCGTGGCACCGTGGGACCCCTGGCATGCTGGGACCCCTGGCATGCTGTCTCCCCTGGCATGCTGGCACCCCTGGCATGCTGGCACCCATGGCATGCTGGCACCCCTGGAACCCCTGGCATGCTGCACCCTGGGCATGCTGGGACCCCCCTGGAACCCCTGGCATGCTCGCACCCGGGCATGCTGGGACCCCTGGCATGCTGGCACCCATTGCATGCTGGCACCCTGGAACCCCTGGCATGCTGGCACCCTGGCAAGCTGGCACCACTGGCAGGCTGGCACCCCAGGCATCCTGGCAGCCAGGCATGCTGGCACCCATAGAACTGGCTCCCCTGGCATTCTGGCACCCTGGGCAAGCTGGCATGCAACCCCTGGCATGGGCTGGGGCATGCTGGCACCGTGGGCAGGCTGGCACCCCTGGCATGCTGGCTCCCCAGGCATGCTCGCACCCTGGGCAAGCTGGGACCCCTGGCATGCTGGCACCCATTGCATGCTGGCACCCCTGTCATGCTGGCAGCCCCTGGCATGCTGGCACCCTGGGCAAGCTGGGACCCCTGGCCCTGGCATGCTGGCACCCTGGGCAAGCTGGGACCCCTGGAACCCCTGGCATGCTGGCACCCCGGGCATGCTGGCACCCCTGGCATGCTGTCACCCCTGTCATACTGGCACACCTGGCATGCTGGCACCCTGGGCAAGCTGGGACCTCAATGCTGGCTCCCCTGGCATGCTAGCACCCTGGGCAAGCTGGGACCCAGGGCATGCTGGCACCCCTGGAACCCCTGGCATGCTGGCACCCTGGGCAAGCTGTGACCACTGGCAGGCTGGCACCCCTGGCATGCTGGCAGCCGAGGCATGCTGGCACCCTGGGCAAGCTGGGACCTCAGGCATGCTGGCACCCTGTCATGCTGGCAGCCCTGGCATGCTGGCAACCCCTGGCATGCTGGCACCCATGGCAGGCTGGCACCCATGGCATGCTGGCACCCCTGGCACCCCTGGCATGCTGGCACCCTGGGCAAGCTGGGACCACTGGCATGCTGGCACCCCTAGCATGCTGGCACCCTGGGCAAGCTGGGACCTCTGGCATGCTGGCACCGTGGGCATGCTGGCACCCCTGGCATGCTGGCTCCCCTGGCATGCTCGCACCCTGGGCAAGCTGGGACCCCTGGCATGCTGGCACCCATTGCATGCTGGCACCCCTGTCATGCTGGCACCCCTGGCATGCCACCCTGGGCATGCTGGCACCCCAGGCATGATGGGACCCCTGGAACCCCTGACACCCTGGAACCCCTGGCATTCTGGCACCCTGGGCATGCTGGGACAACTGGCAGGCTGGCACCCCTGGCCCTGGCTCCCCTGGCATGCTGGCACCCTGGGCAAGCTGTGACCACTGGCAGGCTGGCACCCCTGGCATGCTGGCAGCCGAGGCATGCTGGCACCCATGGCATGCTGGCTCCCCGGGCATGCTGGCACCCTGGGCAAGCTGGGACACCTGGCATGCTGGCACCCCTGGCATGCTGGCACCGTGGGCAGGCTGGCACCGTGGGCAGGCTGGCACCCATGGCATGCTGGCTCCCCGGGCATGCTCGCACCCTGGGCAAGCTGGCACCCCTGGCATGCTGGCAGCCCTGGCATGCTGGCACCCTGGGCAAGCTGGGACCCCTGGATCCCTGGCATGCTGGCACCCTGGGCAAGCTGGGACCCCTGGAACCCCTGGCATGCTGGCACCCCTGGAACCCCTGGCATTCTGTCACCCCCTGGCATGCTGGGACACCTGGCATGCTGGCACCCCTGGGCAAGCTGGGACCTCAGGCATGCTGGCACCCTGGCATGCTGTGACCACTGGGCAAGCTGGGACCCCTGGCATGCTGGCACCCCTGGAACCCCTGGCATGCTGGCACCCTGGGCAAGCTGGGACCACTGGGCATGCTGGCACCCCTGGCATGCTGGCAGCCCTGGCATGCTGGCACCCCTGGGCATGCTGGGACCTCCATGGGCATCACTGGCATGCTGGCACCCTGGCATGCTGGCACCGTGGGCAAGCTGGGACCCCTGGCATGCTGGGACCCTGGGCAAGCTGGCACCCCTGGCATGCTGGGACCCTGGCATGCTGGCACCCTGGGCAAGCTGTCTCCCCTGGCATGCTGGCACCCCTGGAACTCCTGGCATGCTGGCACCCTGGCATGCTGGGACCCTGGCAGGCTGGCACCCTGGCATGCTGGCACCCCATGGGCACCCCTGGCATGGTGGGACCTCAGGCATGCTGGCACCCTGGCACCCCTGGCATGCTGGCACCCCTGGCATGCTGGCACCCTGGGCAAGCTGGCACCCATGGCATGCTGGCACCCCTGGAACCCCTGGCATGCTGGCACCCTGGGCAAGCTGGGACCCCTGGAACCCCTGGCATGCTGGCACCCCTGGCATGCTGGCACCCCTGGGCATGCTGGGATCTCAGGCATGCTGGCACCCATGGCCCTGGCACCCCATGGTCACCCCTGTCAAGCTGGGACCCTGGGCAAGATGGCACCCATGGCATGCTGGCACCCTGGCATGCTGGCACCCCTGGCATGCTGGCACCCTGGGCAAGCTGGGACCCCTGGATCCCTGGCATGCTGGCACCCTGGGCAAGCTGGGACCCCAGGCTGGCACCCCTGGCATGCTGGCTCCCCTGGCATGCTGGCACCCTGGGCAAGCTGGGACCCAGGGCATGATGGCACCCCTGGAACCCCTGGCATGCTGGCACCCTGGGCAAGCTGGGACCCTGGACCCTGGCAGGATGGCACCCCGGGCATGCTGGCAGCCGAGGCATGCTGGCATCCTGGGCATTCTGGGACCTCTGGCATGCTGGCACCCATGGGCAGGCTGGGACCCATGGCATGCTGGGACCCCCCCCCACATGCTGGCACCCTGGGCAAGCTGGGACCACTGGCATTCTGGCACCCCTGGCATGCTGGCACCCTGGGCAAGCTGGGACCTCTGGCATGCTGGCACCCATGGCAGGCTGGCACCCATGGCATGCTGGCACCCCTGGCATGCTGGCACCCTGGGCAAGCTGGCTCCCCGGGCATGCTGGCACCCTGGGCAAGCTGGGACCCCTGGCATGCTGGGACCCATTGCATGCTGGCAGCCGTGGCATGCTGGCACCCTGGGCAAGCTGGGACCTCTGGCATGCTGGCCCCCATGGCAGGCTGGCACCCATGGCATGCTGTCACCCCTGTCATGCTGGCACCCTGGGCAAGCTGGGTCCCCTGGCATGCTTGGACCCCTGGCATGCTGGCACCCTGGGCAAGCTGGGACCCCTGGCATGCTGGCACCCCTGGCTTGCTGGCACCCTGGCTTGCTGGCACCCTGGGCAAGCTGGGCCCCCTTTCACCCTTGGCATGCTGGCAACCCAGGCATGCTGGCATCACTGGCATGCTGGCACCCTGGCATGCTGGCACCCCTGGCATGCTGGCTCCCCTGGCATGCTGGCACCCTGGGCAAGCTGGGTCCCCTGGCATGCTTGGACCCCTGGCATGCTGGCACCCTGGGCAAGCTGGGACCCCTGGCATGCTGGCACCCCCCTAGCATGCTGGCACCCTGGGCAAACTGGGACCCCGGGCAATCTGGCACCCCTGGCATGCTGGCACCCATGGCATGCTGGCACCCCTGGCACCCTGGGCATGCTGGCAACCCGGGCATGCTGGTATCACTGGCATGCTGGCCCCCTGGCATGCTGGCCCCGTGGGCAGGCTGGCACCCCTGGTATGCTGGCTCCCCGGGCATGCTCGCACCCTGGGCAAGCTGGGACCCCTGGCATGCTGGCGCCCCTGGCATGCTTGCACCCATGGTATGCTGGCACCCCTGGCATGCTGGCACCCCTGGCATGTATGTGGCACAAGGCCGAGTTTATCGTGGGTTCTCGAAGCAGAGATTTCGACAGATGAACAATCTGGTCGACTGTTCCAATTCTTATTCATGTTGGCTATCATACATATGACATTGTCATTGTCTGGTCATTGGTTAGTCTACTTCTTGATAACTCCCTAAACATAATGGTACAAGGAATTCACACTAATGGCTGCCCAATCGTTGTATGAAAATGACCATCAACTGTGGTTCCTTCTCCAATTTCTGCAAACTTGACGGTACATATATAATTATTTAAATTCACACATAGCTTTCACAGCACTGTGTGAACTTTCAGAACAGTACTGTGTGAACTTTTTCAACATTGAAACAACATAAAGTTGTCTAAACTTTAATCATATGACAAGAATTAAGCAAGTAAATTAGAAACTGCCTGAGATACATACACTTTGAATCATCTAATAGTAAGATATTGGTGAGGTCATTAATGCCTGAATTCTATCATGAAGATGTGTCCTCTACTAATAATTCAAATAAGGAAGTCAAATTTGTGAGTGACACGAGTGAAATTTCTCAGCTAGCCACTTTTTGGTTTTGGGTGCTACGTGGGAGGTTGTTTTGCTTGAACAAGTACAGCTGTCTTTGATTTATGACTAGATCACTTATAAGCTGAGAAAATGGACACCATAGATAGTACACAGTTATCGATGACATAAGCACAGTTTCAAACCTGACGTTTTTAAATAAAAACAACGTACAGATAATTCTTTAAGAAGTCAGGGGTCAATTTGATACTGTATTTATATTTTCCACCTTTCTGAAATGATAAAAAAATCAATATTTTTTTGCATTCTAACAAATGTTTTGGCTCTTCCCTGTCTCTGACTTTTTACAATTATTGGGACTGAGAGGTTCTTTATGAAAACTGACTTTTTTTTTTAGACAAAAAGAATTATTTTAAATAAAGCACCGTCGGATATATACAGTTTTAAATGAAGAATTTATTCTTTATTTAACATAAATAATTATTATCCCTACAATAAATGTGCATGTACAAAATACATCAGAAATGTTTTTAAATAAATTATTCAAAATGTTTAAAAAATTCAGAATATTAACCCATTACCTGCCATCAGCCCCAGGGATCTGTTAAAATTAAATTCACTACATGCCATTCCTTGTATTTACATTGAATTGCTTACATACATTGGATTTCCTGAGAAATATTTTGCAACACTTCGTTTTTATTATTAGCCGTTTACGGCACTTTCTGTCGTAATTTTACATTTCACAAGTAGAAAAATAATGACTATTTTGAAAAGTATTTTTTTTCTATTATTTCTAATCAATATTATTTTTTGATGTTTTATACACATATATATTTGATGTCCTAGTTTCTATAAAAACGACAATGGTAATTACTGAAATTAAACATAAGGAATAAATAAACTCTTAAGACACCTGCCTGGGCCAAAACTGCGCATTAAAAAAATTGGCTGTTAATGGGTTAAAAATACCTGTGGATATCAATGACATGCACACGGTTTCGAATTTAATGTTTTCAAAAAATATCGAAGTCCAATAACTCTGTAAAAGTCAGGTATCAATTTTACACTATATCGATTTTATGAACAGGACCCCCCCCTACTAAATCGATAAAAAAAACAGTTTTTTTTTATTCTGACAAATGTCATGACTTAACGAAAAGCTACTGAATACTAATCTATAAAAATGATTAAAATTTTCCCCGCTTCTTTTACGAGTAGTTCCAGATTTTAATTCTTGTGACTTGTAACTTTATAAGTTACTATTAGAATAATCTGGATTAACATAATCACCTCACGAGTAGAACGTTTATTCAGAAATTAGTAAAGTTGGATAATCAAATTTTGTTAGTTTTGCTGCTTGTAGCCCAAGCGCGGTTGTGTATTGGTTAGCGTATCGGAATGTGAAGTCGGAGAGCCGAGTTCGAATTCCAGTCGGATGTGTCACCTTCACTTATGCGCGAATACCTTTGAGGAAAGGTATGAATCCATCTATTCTCCTCTCAGCTATGTGTAAATGAGAGGACAAACTGGGCCCTATAGCCTTGGCTGGCAAGCAGCCTGAAAGAAAAAAAACAACTTTGAATTCAAATTAACTTGCAGGGATTTGAGCACTATCAGCTTAGAGTCATTCTTACGACTGTTGTCCTCAAGTGATGTGGTTTCTGTTATCTCATAAAGTTCATAGTAGCACTACAAACATTTTCTTTTATGTGCTGATGTTCCCCTCTTCTCTTGATATGCCTTGTGAGTGTCAAATTCTCCTTTCCTCAAGATGTGTCATAAAAATTCCAGCTGTTTAGTTCTGAGCCGAAGTCAAAGTGACTTTTTATTTCTATTTTCTTTAAAACTCCTTCGTTGGGCACGCTTTCCGTCCATGTTATTCTCAGTATCCTTCTGTAGAACCACATCTCTGTTGTCTGAAGTTTCTTTTTCATCTGCGAAGAAATTGTCCAGCAGTAAACAGAAATAGTGTCGGAATGGTATTGCACAGCAAATCAGCAATCTTTTCTTTGTTTTTAACATCGTGAGAGATTATTTTAGATCTGAGCACCAGGGATTCTTGTAGACGGTGGTAATTCAAAATTTGACTTAAAAAACGAAAAGAGCACTGGCAAAACCGAAGTGGTCGTTTTGTGAAATAGAAGAGGTCGGGTATTTGTGTTTGGCTGACGTCTGTAGAAGTAAAGGTCAAAGTTGAGGGTATCTGCGTGAAGTAAAATAAAATCCGTCCCAAACAGTTCGCGAAATAACAAGTGTGTGTTTTTTTTTCTGAGTTGCTTTCATCCGCGAAGAATTCTTTTGTAAATACGTTTTATCTAGCGAAGAATCGTCTCGCACATCGAATGCGAAGTATAAGCGGAGGTGAAGAAAAATCCTGGGAAGGAAGAAAATGCCGAAGGAAACTTGAGAAGATAGAGACGAAAAAAGCAAAAAAAAAAGCAAAAAAAAAAAAAAAGCATTTACACACGGAAGAACAACTAAGAAAAAAAATAAACAAAAATCACAAAAAAGTGAGGAATAATAAAAATAAATTATCTCAGTTCTTCAGAAAACAACATATACACACATAACACATACAAACACAAACATGGTAATGATAATATTAACTGTTTCATTATATGAAAAGATTTGCCATTCATTGACTGAGCAGCCACTTCTGCTCAAGTTGATCTTTTCTTACCACTTTTTCCCATGTACTGGGATCAAAGTTTAGTATCTGTTCTCATCTCTTATGTTAATCGTAATATTAGTCATTTCGTTTTATGAAAAGATTTACTATTCATTGACTAAGCAGCCACATCTGCTCAAATTGATCCTTTCTTCTCAACCTGTCCCTTGAACTGGGATCAAAGTTTAGTATCTGTTCTCATCTCTTATGTTAATCGTAATATTAGTAATTTCGTTATATTAAAAGTTTTACTATTCATTGACTGATTGAGTAGCCACATCTGCTCAAATTGATCCTTTCTTCCTACCCTGTCCCTTGAACTGGAATCAAAGTTTAGTATCTGTTCTCATCTCTTATGTTAATCGTAATATTAGTAATTTCGTTATATTAAAAGTTTTACTATTCATTGACTGATTGAGTAGCCATATCTGCTCAAATTGATCCTTTCTTCCTACCCTGTCCCTTGAACTGGAATCAAAGTTTAGTATCTGTTCTCATCTCTTATGTTAATCGTAATATTAGTCATTTCGTTACATGAAAAGATTTACTATTCATTGACTGAATGAGTAGCCACATCTGCTCAAATTGATCCTTTCTTCCTACCCTGTCCCTTGAACTGGGATCAAAGTTTAGTATCTGTTCTCATCTCTTATGTTAATCGTAATATTAGTCATTTCGTTATATTAAAAGATTTACTATTCATTGACTAAGCAGCCACATCTGCTCAAATTGATCCTTTCTTCTCACCCTGTCCCTTGAACTGGGATCATAGTCTAGTATCTGTTCTCATCTCTAATGCTAATCGTAATATTAATTGTTTCCCTGTAAGAAAACATACGGCATTCATTGACTGAGCCACTATTGCTGTTGACCTGTTGAAATTTATAAAATCTTTTTCTCATATTTTGCTGTTTTTCTTTTTCAAATATTGATGGGAATTTCTTTTGTTCGATGTACGGTGGAATGTTAACATCTTGATTATGTCATTATTTTCTTTTTTATAAGTTACATAATGCTATCCATTTTAGTCGTTGCGTCTGTTGGTAGTCCTCAAGTGACGTAGTTTCTGCTATCTCGTACAGTTCTTTCTTTGTGACTATGAAGCACCTGTTAACAATGTTCGGCAAATGACAGTTCTCGCTAAGACTTACACGCTTCACTCGCATAGAGTCATTTTAAACATTGATCTGTGATTATATAAAGCTGGTAGTTTAGATATTTCCAAACGAGTTTGGCGCTATGCATCCCATCCATATGAAAGTCTCAATCATTATTATTATTTTTTCTACTAGTAGAGTTACTCCCGAGATTTGGGTTGATGTTTTCGTTTTGTAACAATTTGCTGTATTGTGTGAAACTACCATAAGTTCAGCCTATTCTGCTTCCTTATTTCCTATATTAATTTTATTACAACTGATCCATACATTAACCCTAGAACACTAACCGTCATTTAAAGTTACATAACTACTAACCATGGGTATATAGTACCCGATTTTGAAAATATCAAAAAAAATATTAAATATAAATCTTTATTTGAAATATTTTACATGCAGGCACTTCAAACTTTGTACTTTGAGTTAAAATTAATAGGAACTGAAAAACATTATTTAGGTAAGAAAATCAGGTACTGAAAATTGTAATTAAAAATAGGAAAATTTGCGCTGGGTACTATATACCCATGGTTAGTGTTCAAGGGTTAAAGTAACCATGACAACGGAATTGAATAAAAGAAAACACCCAACCTCACAAAAACAAAAGTAGACC